CATGAGAAGGTAGATTTAATATACTATTTTACTTTCTTAAATTATAATCTTTACGTATTGTTATACACAATCTTGAATGCGATAAGTCATTTTTTTCCAATACTTAGTTATCCTGCTTTGCTATCATGTAGCGATAATGGAAAATCAACAAATGCTGATTTGCACGGACAGATCGAGGAGAATGTTCAAACAGAAGAAAAACAAAAAAAAGTTTCTGAAGAATAGAATATTATTTGATACTATTTACTGCACTTTTTATTTATTTTTCAAGTTTTTGAATGTTATGGTATTGATGAATGCCATTTTTTCTATTTTTGAATTATTATTCACTGAATTAGATGTTCAAATTTATATTATAAGAATACTTTATATTACAATGCGCACATAGTAATATACTTAAGACAAGTTATAATAGATTATACATCAAATTTGTATTTTATATCGACATTTTTATAAAATTAACTAAATAGTTTATTATTTTTCGATGATTCCCGTTCAATGAACGGGTACAAAACTAGTTTATTACTAATTCAAGATATATTACTAATCCTATGTGTTCATAAAAAAACAAACAGAAAACAAAAACAAAAAAAAACAAAATTCAAAATATGTTACTAAACTTTTACAATTGAAGATCAATATGCCTTTTAAAAAATATATATATGTATTGAAAGAAGATGTACTTGATAGTTAAGAGGAGTGGAAACCCAAAATCGATACTTTAATGTGCCAACCGCTTGCACTGAAAATACCTAACCATGAATTTGATACTTGAAATCAATATATTAGAGGCTATATGTAGTGTAGACATAAGAAATAAGAATTGATAAGAATATAAAAGATATTGATAAGAACATTAAAAGTAGGTTTATCTTGATTTAAGTTGTTTAAAGTACGTAACTTTGGGTAGGAAATAAGAATCCTATAATATTAAGAATTCTTATAGGAAATAAAAGTGTGTTCTCAAGACAGATTTTACCTATCTTGAAAGACCACCTCAACTATATCGAGTCTTTTAAATGCATGGACTCCTTTGATGTGGATCCACACACTAAATACTCCCCTCCATCTGAGCAGAGATGTATTGTGAATCCTATAACCTAGCAATGAGTATAACTTACATGTTTTGATTAACAACGAACGGGTTTATAGAAATTTACAAACCCGTGTTCAAATAGGAATTTATATTTGACCGTACGGGTCAAATACATATAGTTAATTGGATTCAATTAACTTTTTCTTTTCCATAAATTTCGTGCTATGCATTATGTCTTGATAACGCACTTACTAATAAAATTTATTAAAAATCCTATTTCCAACATCAGATATTGACTTTTGTTATTAATGGTTCCTTTTAAAATTAGTTACTTTTCTACTTCTCGTAGTGATAACAATTTTTATTTACTTCGGTTCCCTATGCAGTACATAAATTATTGGCATGAATTTGGAGATATATCTAATAGAGATATTTATCTCTCTTTTATTTATATCGCATTACTTTCCAATTTCTTTTTTGGGTAGGAAATAAAAATCATATAATATTAAGAATTCTTATAGGAAATAAGAATTGATATATATCTAAACAAAAAAGGAGCAAGCCACGTAGGAAACTACTTGCTGTTTCGTTAAGCCACGTAAGAAAGAGAAAACATGAAGGGATAAGAATAAAAATATAACTTTATTATATATATATATATATATATATATATATGATATGATTTGGGATTATGTTGGGATTACATTGCAAATAGACGAAGAGTAGGGTTTGAACTTTGAATGGGATATGATTACAATCTGGAATATAGTCAAGTCCCAATATATAGAACTTCAATGCCAATCCAATTCAAATTTCAAACTCGAATGCTATATCTTTTAATTTATCAATATCTTGACGTTCGAATCGTGATTAATTTAACTAAAGTCATTTGCTTACAAGATACTTAATGAAGGATAAAGTAGTGAAAAAGAAAACCGAAACAAATATGACATAACAATAGAATAAGTACAGAAAATTGGTATTTCTCTATTGACAAATCCGAAGAGGGAAGTACGGTATTTAATTCTTTTTTTTTTCGTTCCTCAAATTCACATCTCGATGTCCAGAGATGGTGTTTCATAATTTTTTATTGTTTATCTATGACGAAGGTTATTTGCTGCAAGTTATTTCGATTGTACGCAAGGTCGGATGAAAGAAGAATGCATTTGATTCTTTGAGTTCTGGCATTCTAGGGTGCCCATGCAGCAATTAGTCAATATTAATCTGGTAAAATGATCTTTTATGGGGATCTTTTATGGGGACTTGTACGCCTTCTATTTCTAGTAAAAGGTTCACCATCAGATCTTTTATGGGTACAGTGTATATACTAGCGGGTTTAGATACATGCTATATATATATATATATATATATATATATATATATATAATTTGATGTTTAAATTCAAATTCAAATGATGTGGTATTCATTTAATTTCGTCAATGTATACACTGGTATTATAGAAAAGATTAATTCAAAGTTATTCAACATCTTTTTTTTTTTCGAAACGATAGAAATTTTCTCATAGTAAGGAAGTAAAATTACATTGTATGAGCAAGGACTCAAATTTGACTTTACAAAAGTGGACTGCGCCACTGATGAGCTTCAGGTTCCTCATCAAAGAAGAAGTATGGCTAATCTACTCAGTTTAGCACTGAGTGTATCCCTATCACCAGGTAAGCTATCAAACGAGCAAGGGCTCAAAGTTATTCATAATCAAAGCTTTGGGAAAGTAATCATGGAGGTAGGCTCTCGGCTGTGCCAACAGTGGATTATATTGTGAGAAAAGGGAAGACATGGTTCCGAATTTAATCCAAGCTAAACTATCATATGTCATTTCCACTAAAATTAACCATCAAAATTGGGCTGGTTTATTCAGCAAATGGTTTCATTTGAATTGACAAGTTTGGCATGCATTAGGCAGGCGAAGGGAGAAATGATCAGAAACTCTGATTGCAAGGTTCCCAATGAATCCCTTGTACACCTAATTTCTTTATCAATGGTTTTTGCTGCAACTTTATAACGGAGTTGAAGCAGCATGTTTTTTCAAAAGGCAACATATTCATCTTCTTGACAAATAACATCCCTCACGAAAATCTGAACTGGATTCTGAAATTCAATGTCGAGATAGAGTCAAGGCATAACAAAACAATAAATACCGATTAACCTCAATAGGTGTTCGCAAATTGAATACCATTTCTCATCCAGCCTTTTTTTTTTTTCCTCCAAAAATTGATCGGAGTTAGATCTCGACCTGTTTATTTAAATACTTGCAAAAGAGTACATGATGAAGGGGCCGTGAAACCTTATTTCCTAAATCAGATTCCATGTAAACTTGATATGTTTCAATGGATTCTTAATATGCTCCGCACTTGTGATATCGCAAAAGCGCTTGAATTTTTGATTCGACACATTGTTTTGTTTGAATCGTTTTACTAGTACCTGAACACTGCTTAACCACTAGGACAAATTGATCTTTTATAAAGTGCTCGTCGTCTTTGCATTGAGAATTGTTTGCTTCGTTATCTTCCTATTTGTCGCATTGTGGGACACTTGCACAGGTACTCACAGCAGATTGGCTTGCTTGATTTCAACTGAAAGGATTTATGAAAATCTTTGACAGATTGTATTGTCTTTACCTCCTCCGTAAACATGACGAATTTTGTTTTGTGATTTCTCCTTTCTCATATAGCTTTTCTGCACTTACCAAAGAAAAAAGAGTTGAACCCTGTTTGCAAAATATCAAGCAATCCAATGCTATTAAGCAAGCAACAACTTATGGTGCTCCAAATCTTTCCCCTTTTAGCTGGCAGGTTATTCCAAACTCTATAATGGACTTAGATTAGCAGCCATAAGGCAAAATGTTTTCAGTTTTCACGTTACCTTCAAAACAGGCTGTATAGATACTAAAGCTGGCAATTTGTCCCAAGCCCCAATGGGCTACCCATGCCCAAAGGAACTTTGGGCGGGATGGGTATTATAATTTGGTATTGGGTTTAAGTTGGGACACATCCCAACTATACCCATTAATGAATGGGAAAGGATGGGAAATACTTGGGTACCCATTGGGCTCAAATGGCAAGGGCTCCGTTTGGATTAGCTGTTTTTGGTAGGTGTTTTTGAAATATTTTATTGTAGCCGTGTATATGAAAAATTTTTACTATAAAATTTTTTTGAAATATTTGATATACTAATATGGATGGGATGTTTCTTGAGTTATTGTATATTACTGTAACATTGTATTTGAAAAACTTATTTATTGAAAAAATAGTCAATCAAAACGGAGTCTTAGATTCAAAAATTATCTTTAACAATTTTTATAGTCATACCAGCGAATATAATCTAGTAGTCTTCTTAGTCATTATCCACAAGAATTTCCAGCATTTCAGTTAGTTTAGACCTGTCATCCTTGGACAATGATGAGGATAAATATTCAACATCCTAAGGACCTTGGCCATCTTGATATATGTTGGAATATGGCTGTATATCTATCTTTTCCTTTATTTGTTAATCCAATTTTTGGTGGGAATCTTGAGTATAAAGCACTTGCATGTTTATTTAATAAAACTAAAGAAATTTAATAAATCAAAAATATTAAAATTATATAAAAAATAAAAAATGAATTAAAGGAAAAAAAATATGTAGAAAATGAATTTGGGTATTGGGTGGGATGAATCTAAACCCATCCCAAAATGATCCCGCCCAAGTTAGTCCCAAAACACATATGGATAAGGTTGGACCCAAACCCATATGACTCGGTTCCATTTCAAACCCAAGCAAATCCCGCCCATCCCGCCCATTTTGCCACCTCTAATAGATACCATCCATCACATATTGCTAAAGAAGGTAACAACCGTTGTAATGCGCTTAGTTGTCTAATTGAACTAAAGCATATAATACTAACGGTTGTTTGGCTTTAGGAACCTAATTCAATTGGGGCTTGAAAATAGTACTAAAGGAAGAAGTATTGCCAAATAAAAATCATTACACTCACCACCTGCAAACATTTCTGTCAAAAAAGACACCGGGACAGCTGCAATTCCATACATATGCATGTATATGTGAAAGAAAACCCCATGCTGAACTTCAAAAGCCCGATCCTAACCCTCAAGATTGTCACAATTAACCTCTGTATTGCGTGCAGAACCACCAAAGAAAATCTCTACAATGTGCTGCAATAAATTTTTATTTACTAACTTGTATATCTAGGAACCACTTTCTGCTTTCCAAATATGTATGATTTCTGCAACACATCTCATTCCGCTTTTTCAGATCCGCCCATAATGTCCTTCAGCTTTTCCTTAAGCTCACCATTCCGCGTGAAACACTTGTTTTCTTGAGTGCTTATTCAAGGCAACAAAAAATAGAAGAATTATATATCATAAACAATACCTGATGCATATTCAGGATGATATCTGATCCCCCAATGAACTCACCTTTGATGAATATTTGTGGGAATGTAGGCCAGTTGCTGCAACAAAAGTAACCGAATTATAAAGCAAGCGTCTTCTGGACAAATAAATCCACCCTTCTTCTCATTCTTCATTCAGATATTTGTTGGCTGATTTTAGGAAGGGAGAGCGGAAAATAAATATGCTAATTAAATAGTGGACTTAAAAGAGGGTATGAAGGCAGAGAATTGACAACACATTAGATGAGATATTTGAATACTTCCTCAGAGATCCCCCTGAAGATGCAACTAGCAACAGCAGCAGAAGGTTTGAAAAGATGAGCTGTTGCAATCTGTAGGTTTCTGGTTACTATAAAAATTATACATTTGCAACTCTTTAGTGCCCATATTTTTACAGTCTTATAAAAGATAGATCTTGCAACAAAATGTATCTAGATAATTACATATGGAACACAATTAATATACTGTATCATATCCAGAATAATTAGCACAGGTACGCCATATTCTTCTAGCATGCAAATGAGTTGCTATCTCAGGGCCCAATAGCAATTGAGAGATTGAATCATAGTTTGTTCTCATAATAATAAACTTTAAAAACAACCTTACTTTAATGTAGAGAAGGGTGTCGAGTACATCAGGTTCCCATAAATGGGTCCCTAAGCTTAAAAGGATTCTGAGGATAAACATCCCAAAGTTTACATTAAGTTTAAATTGATTATCAAACCTGATCAACTGAAAATGCATTATAGAAGGAATCCATGTATAATTCTGTCTGAAAGACATGATACGCTACTTATATCTCTACTTAAGCTACAAGAGAAGCTAATTGTCAGTAGCATAACTAGAACGCCATTGCTAATTGCTCAGTAGGATGATATGCACAAAATAGAATATTTTTTCAGCCCTGAAGAAGACTAAAGGTGCTGCACATGGTAGTTACCTATAAGCTTTTACGGCATTCTTAAGTTCAACGTTTTCCAATATATTCCTGGCGCTTATAGGTATACCTGCAAGGGGCATAACAATGATTAAGAATACCACAATCAAGAAACACATCATGTCTACCCAGAAAAGACTGAGGCCAATAGAACATGCTTAAAATAGTTCCTTAGACAGTGAATCTGAAAATTGGCAATATTTCATACTGGCATTATTTCCCTCCCAGCAGCTTTCTTTTGCAAGAATTTTACTGTAAAATTCTGAGTCAATACTGAATTCAAACAATCAAAATTATTACAAGTCTCATTTATGCGACATAATGCAAAGCATTTTCATACTAAAGTATTTAGCTTAATTACATCACGGTCTTCTCCATATGGTCCAGCCATTTTACAGCTAAACCACGTTTACCTTTTTGCATGAATTGTTTTCTAACTTGACTCAACCTGTAAACCAAAACAGAGCATCACATAGATATCCAAATAAATTGACTGGGCGCTTGTAAACTTACTATATTCTTTCAGCACCCTCACAGCTAATGAGCTGAACCCGCAGCGAGGAAGATCAGGCACCCCTTTCATATAAATCATAACGGGTTTCTCTTTCACATCCTACATTAGAATTCTAACTAGGTTAATATGTCAATAAGATTCAAAGCGAAGGCACAGAATCTAAAAAACAATCACATGAATGGTAACAACTGTATACACCAATAAGTGGATATCTATCAAATCTTTTAAGCTTCACCCAAAAATTTTAAAAAATTATACATATATGTGTGTGTGTGTGTGTGTGTGTGTTTTACCATACAAAAGACAATGATTATCATGCCAAATCTGATCAAGAGCATTCACCTGTTCAACAATGTCCGTCAATGATAGACCAGAACTCTCAAGCTTAATAGTGGGCCTAAAATCTTCATGGGTGTCAGGATCATTGGGCACAGTAGTTGAATAGAAAATTACACCTCTACAGAAGAATGTAGCAGCCTGTCATGGACAATTGGTAATTCCACAGTAATTAAATCCAAGCAAGATGAATTTAACAATGAGTGCTTCAAAAGCAAAAACATTCAGCCAGTGAAAATTTAGGAGAATAGGATTTCATGACAGTGAGAGATAGAATTGCAGACATGAAGGAATATGATGTCAAATAATTTCACAGTAAATACAATGCTTCCAGCAGATGCAACTTCAATCTCAAATATTTGAGCAAAGATTTAAAATACAGAAAGCAAGACAAAATTGGGTTTACTTCAAGTCTTAGGTAGTTAACAATCAAACCAAAAATGAGTGAAACCATATTGGGGGTACAAAGGCTAAGCAGCATGAAATGACTATGACCAACAGCACTTTTCGGAATAATCTAGAGTCGAGTCTTGCACTAGCCATATGGTTCAAGCACATATAAATTTATGTGCAGAATGGAACTAAAGGCAGTGTAAACTGGGGAATAAATGCTAAAGTTAGAGGATTGAATAAGATAGAATAATTTTGCTGTCTTACACTAGCATCTGATCGAGCAGCTGGGACAGCTGCCATGCTCTTCCCAAGTTCAGCTGCCAACGACCATAATGTTCGAGCTGATTTATGTATTAAACTTTCTACCAGCAGAGAAGATAAAGAAAGGTAGTTTTACCTATAGAAAATTGTTTTTTGCAGTTTTGATCCAATCAAGTGGAGGAAAATTACCCACCACGACTACCTCAACAGATTTTACACCCAAGGAAAAGAAGCTACCTAAGTGTTTCATAAACAATCCTTAATACGCAAACCAGGAAAAAATATCCATGTTTTTGGCACTAACATTGAGGGAATTTATTTATGAAGTATAAATGTTGAATGGCCCAGGACAAATGTTGACACTAGTTTAATTCTTGTAAAATATCCACTGAGTAGTACTGGCATACTTCTTAAAGGCTAGATCACTTCTAACCATTTATTTTCTACAAAACACCAAAGTTCCCTTCTTTGAATGATGCCCAAGGCCAACACTAGAAAATGACCATTGGGAGAAATAAAAAGAAATGACACATAACAGGAGTTCCTCATTTTTCTTGCTAGTATTCTGTTGTATTAGAGCTTAATCTCAGAAGACACTACAAAAATGAAGTTCTTGTAACAGTCCAAGTGTTATACTCAAATTTGATGGCTACATCTTAAGGTAGTCACGTTCAATTTTACATCTTACACACACAAGTCTTTAGCTTTCTTAGTTGTTAGGTTCTTTAGCTATCCAGTTTGGTTAATTCTTATGGATCCTTTGCTGTTAAGTCTTGCGTCCAATAAGTTTGTATCAGTCATGATAGGTTCAGAGAAGAAAGATTAATACACAATTATGTCGAGTTGAGTCTGTGATGTTCTGGTCTCTTAGTGTATTTAAAGCAGTCCTACCTTGGGTGCTTGATCGTAAAGAGAAATTCCTAGAATGTCTCGCTCTCTTGCGTCCTCATAAACTCCTACTGCTTCCTTTCTTATTTAAAATTCTCAAACTTCCTTTCAGATTCTTACAATTTTTTAACCAGTAAGTTTTGAAAAAGATCTTATCAACCATAGCTTTCCTGATGCTGCATCAGTTTAATGTCATTAAGAGAAGCTCCAGAGATATGTCAATTTCAGGATTTATCCAAACATTCATTTCTCTTTTCGTTCTGCATCATTCTCACCAGCACTCAAGAACTTGCTCTTGAGCAATGCTTAGGAAGCTTGCCAACTGAAGTTCAACCTCTGGATGCTTTAAGCCCCAGAGTTTATATGGTAACCCTATCCTTTAAAAAAAATGGCAAACAACGCCAATCTCCTTGTCTAAGCCATTCTTCTTAAAAAACAAAATCAATTTTTGAGATGTCAAGGGAAACAACACAGCATCTTTAAAATAGGAAACAAATCTTTTCAACTTTTCCAATGTCTCCACTCATTTTTTTTATTGCAAAAATCACTGTTTACGACATTTGACATTTTCGTCTCCTGATTCCTCCTTTAAAGCAGCCATATTTACTTCCTTAACATCAGCATATTGTTCAATGCTCTTTGCACCTTTAGGATAGAAACAACAACTGAGCTCTCCAATTGTTGATTGCATACCAACTAACCATTGATTGCTGAATCTAATTTCCTCTGTCACCAGCCATTTAGATCCTTTTTGTTGATTAAAAAAAGGATCAATTATAGTTTATCATGAAAGGATTATCAATTTTATAAAATCCAGGCCAAAATTTGGGGCAGCAAGGTTCATTATTCCATTTAAGTTTACCTTGTTTTCTATATTTCCTTTGAAGATCAACAAGAAAATTCTGTAACAGGCTTTTATACCTTTTTGTTGATCAAAAAAGGATCAATTATAGTTTAGAAGAAAGAACTATCAATTTTATAATCTCCAGGCCAGAATTTGGGGCAGCATTGTTTTTTATTGCATTGAAGTTTAGCTTGTTTTCTTTGTCTCCTTTCAAAATCAACAAGAAAAATCTGCCTTTGTAATCTTGGTGATAGACGAGTGAAGAAAGATCAGAGAAGAGGAAGAATTCCTTAGCACTCGTACCAGAATGATGCAGCACCAAGAAATGTGTCTAGTTAAGATTCATTTAAAACTTTAGTTGTCCAAACTTCAAAATATGGAGAGAGCAGAATTCGAAACTTTAGGAGGACGAAAAATGGAAAAGTAAGATACTAAGGAGAAGTATTAATTCAAAGAAGTCTACCTATATTTCGTTGGGATTGACCACCGAAGGAAGGTCCTATGCAGAAACAAAAGAAAGCACAACACCACCGCAAACTCAAGTAACAAGCCAAGTCGAATTTGACAGGCTTAAGAGGCAGCTGCCAAATTGGCTTTTAACACTTAAAAGCTTGAATTTACAAAAAACTTACTTTCTGACATTCAAAAGTCATTTTTCTATTTTACACTTCAACGCTCTAATATAACAAAATACTACATGAAGTTCCTTGATATATATCTAAAGCATATCTAGCTAAATTCTGAATTTCTTGAAGCCCCCAAACAATCCTATTCTTGTCTTTCCATTCTGCATTGCAGGGTCTAAGAAAAAGACATTTTGTTGGTGTAGTACCATTTCTCCCATCATCACCAAAAACTCAAAATGTTTAAGAAGCTAAGTAAATAGATTAAATTCTATATCTCCAAAAACTTATTATCATACTAAACAAGAGTAAAAAAAATTATTTACTACACCTAGCTTGCTGTAAGCCGGTACTTTGTTATCTTTTGCACTTTTCCAGAACATCATTCAACAAGCAGTGGGAGTACAAACAACTTGAAATGATAAACCAAATGCAGTTACACTGAGCTTTAAACTACAAAAGCTCATCCATTCTTCAAAGGTCAAGCCCATGTGTCCAGAAATTTAACAACTATGATACCTATGGCAATTTACTATAAAGAAGAAAAAAATGAAGACTAAATCATAATATAGTCATTATCATTTATGCAATCTAATAATCAGTGTGCTAGTGCAATGCACACCTCAAAAGTGTTTTGATATTCGACAGGCAGACATCTTTGAGCAATCATTCTTTGTTTGATACAGAAAAATATCAACTAAGATTAAGATCATGACAAGCAAGCAGAGAGAGGGAAAACACTTGTATCAGATGTGCAAATTAATGGAAGACCAAAACTGACCAAAACACAAAGCTGGAAGGAAAGGAAGCACGATATGCATAGACATTTGATAACTTAATAGTTCAGAAAAAAATAAGAATTATTTAGTGGACATTAAGTTGGAGGAGTGCAGCAAATGGAACATCTGAATTTGAAAGTGCAAACAAAACGTGCCTTCTAGTAACAAAAGATAGGAGATATAAAAACACAATCATTAACATCACCAAACAGTTTTGTGCAGCTCTCATCATTTAAAGGTCAAAATTTATTAAAAGATGTAATCTAGAGAAACTATAATTTCAGAACTAGAAGAAAGATAAGATGTAAGATAATAGCAGACAAAGCAGTCCCGAAAAGTAAATTTAACGTAAATGAAGCAGAAACCTAGAAGACGTCCCTATAGTCACTAAAGAAAACTTCTTAAATGTTTAATCACTTGTGAATTTCCACCATTATTTTCATCTAAAACAACATCAAGGCCCTATTTCGCAAACCCCTACAGCTAAAAAGGAGGTGTACTAACTCAAAACTACAGAACCAGTATAACTTAATCAAACTTTGTAATTCAGTTAGCAAACTAAGAAAACCATATCAGGAATGAAGCAAAATTTCCATCTGAGTAAGATATTCAAGAATGCTGGCCAAGAGAACAAGAGCTACCCTGAAGAATTAACAACTTCCCCCAATCCTTCAAAAGTCATGCCAAAAATAGAAGAAACACGAGTGAGTGAACCTGTTTTTGGAAATACTAAGCACCACAGAGAAAGAACAAAGAACTCCATGGAACTCTTGTATGTCAAATTAGCATAACTTACAGGCTTGTATTTGGAAAGAACCATCTCACAGGAATCCCAATTGACCATTTGCAAATGGATACTTCTCATACGCAATTTTTACTTCAATCATGTACATATCATGGAAACTTCAGAAGTATTTTTAACTCTGAATGTCAGAGTTTACTAAGCAAGAGAGTCGGAAGGGAGAACAGGAAGACGGAAAAACACATTGCACTCTGTATACTATGCTGAAATTATTAATCAAGGAATAACCTCAACAACGACTCTCCGCATTTTCCAGTGAACAAAATGAGGTGCACCATCATTATATAAATAGAAAAAAGTTTAACAGGTAATAAAAAAAGAGGTACATTGTTCTTTTCTTTTTCTTGTTTCCATTTCCATCCTTAGTAGGTATTTTCTGAAGCTGGAAAATTCCAACAAAACAAAGAGTATACATCTCAATTTCCTTCCCGTTATTACCATTAATTTTTAGTTTCTTCACAATTCTTTTCCCTAGTTCTAAAATCCATGCTCACTATAACTAAGAGAGACCAAAAAAAACCCCACTTTTGCAACTCTTACAAAAGCAAGCAGAAAGCACAGATAATCAGAACGTAACAATACAAGCACCAGAATCTCAAATCATATACATACCAAAATCCCAACAACACAACTATGAAAGAAATAAAACGAAAATAAAAATCAACAAGGCAAGTTGGACGCATGAAAAAATTGTGATTAAATAAATGTTAAAAGTCTAAGATTTTACCAGGAAGATGACCCACGAGGAGTGCAGGGTTTGAGAGTTTGGAGAGTGAAAGGGTGCAGGGTTTAAGCAGAGTGCTTGAAGAGTTTGCAGGACAAATGCTGAGAATTACGAGAGAAAGCGCTAGAAAGGGACGCGGCTTCTGTATGCGACTTGGAAGAGTCGCGCCATGACATCAGAAGAAAGAAAAGTTTTTTTTTTTTTTTTTTTTTGAAGGGTGTCAGAAGAAAGTATCATGAACAATCTTCTTCTTTTTTTTTTAAACACAAATTTTTTTTACTATTAGTATTGTCGCGCCCATTTTTCACAATAAAAAATAGTGTTTGAAAAAAATGTGTTTTTGATTTTGAAAAATAAAGAAACGGCTTTAAAATGGAACTAAAGAAAATGCGATAGTTTAGAGTTTTTAGACCCAACATTTAGTCTGAAAAAGGTTTTTAAAAAAATGGGGGTCACCACTTAGTATTGAGTTTAGGTGTACCAAATGACTCAAAAAATATTTTGAAAATAAATAATAATATAATATAATATAATATAATGAAACGTTTTTTAGATGACTTCAATTCTTTAAAAAAACAAGAAAAAAAATGTTCAGAAGTCACAGTTGAAAAAAAAGAAAGCAAAAAATTGATCAGTTTGAACCTAAACCACCCTTTCACTCTAGCCAAAACTAGTTGTAAGGTTTAGTCACATTTTTCCTATTTTAACCCTTCAAATTATCAAATTTGAATGTTTCCTATATAAATGCAAATTTAAACTTAAAAGAGATATTGAATGGACAAATGTATATTCAAGATCTAACTGGTACCGACCGCATTAATTGCGAAACCCAAAATAATCCCTTGAAGGGGTCACAAGTATACAAGATGAGGTTTGAAGAAAAAAGAAAATTAAACTATATATATAGGTATAAATGGTGAAAGAAAAGAGAATGCAATATAATGGATACGAGAAATGAAACTTGTGACACAATTTTCCTTTTTATAGAGGAGCAATACTGTGCTAAGGTTACAAAATCCTTACTCGTCCATTTCTGATATTCGAAGGGTGATTCTTCTAACTTAAACAAGTAAATAAACTAACTTATTTTCTAATTCTCTAAATGAAATGCAAGTCTAAATAATATGACTAACGCATATGGGGGATAAATGAATAATGTAAGGGAAAATATCATACAAATGAGAAAAATTGTCTAAAATAGGAAAAGTACGTCAAAATACAATGAATGACACACAAAAGATGAATCTAACGCGTGGACAGGGCCTACAGGTCTAACATTAGATTAGCCCATTTTATAGATTTTCACTGGTATTGGACTAGCGAGCAAGCAATAAAAAAGACTAGTGTGGTGACATTATGCATGCATCATTTGTATTAAAACATATAAAGCATAAATTAAAGTAAATAAACATATAGAAACACATAAAGCATATAGGCATAATAATCTAGATGCAAAATACTAAAGAAAACAAATAAAACACATAAGCACATAAGCCATACACACACAAAAACCTATTTATTATAATTAGGGACCTTATAACAATCTAAAATGGAAAAATATAAGAGAATAAAACCTATCTAACTTATTTATTACAGTTATCTATCTGATTAAAATTTTTGTGCGAAAGAAAAATATAACGTATCTATTGCATCTCGGGTATTCAAATACCCTCCAAAGAGTTGTTAAATAAACATGAAAATAAATATCAATTTAAAGTAAATAAATAAAAAATGCATAAGACATATAAACACATAAGAGCACATAGTGGTACGTAATTGAAATTTAAAGGATAATAGGGGTATCTCATGTTTGAAGAAATGAACTATAATAAGGGAAGATTACTCTATTCATGCTCAAAATCAACAAAATGATCACAACAATAATTTAATTGGAAATATTTAAAAAAGAGAACATAAAATTGTATTAAATTCTCATTTTCGTGTCAAACACATAAAGAAACTTAAAAACATCCAAAAATTACAAGTTAAATGCACTCAAGAGTAAATAATTAGCAATTAAAGAAAAGAAACAATCATAACAGAAAAATCAAAAAGCCATTGGGGACTAAATTGCAAAAATTAGAAAGTTTTTAGAGTCAAAATACAATTATTTATAAGATTGAAGGGTCAAAACTAAATAAAGATAAAATTTAGGAGCTAATACAATTAAATTAAGATTCTAAATGAAAGAAATTCAAAATTTTTGAGCCAGAATAACATTACTCAAAAGATTAGAGACCAAATTGCAAGATTCTGTTTCTAATTCGAGAAAAATACAAATAAAACAATTTGGGGCACACTACATTGGTCCAAAAGAAAACGATGCAGATTGTCTTGTACAAAACAAATAAGCCTAACTAAAACCCCAAGTAAACTAGAAATAACATGTGCATTTAATTTTATTCCTTAACCCAACACTAAGCCCAATCAAAAAATATACAACCATTTAATTTACACTAAATACTCATAGTATCAAATAATGGAAAGACATTTATACCCTTATTTCAATAAGTTAAACTTAATCGCTCACCTTAAACTAATTCTACAAATAAGCAAATCACATAGTCAACTTATGCTTTCCTTGTCCTACAATCATCTTTTTTCTCAAATTTCACAACTAAGAGGGGTTTATTTATACTAATTTTTAGTCAAATAGTGGAAATGTATTTTGATGTGAAAATCGACACTTTTAGGTGAAGATTTTCGATTACTCAACATTTCACTTATTCAAGTTGCTATGCATACTATTAATTCAAGTATCTTTTTACACGAATGTCAACATTTGTAAATGTCAATCCCCGGTTATTCAATACAAGAATCATTGGAAGAGAATAAAAACTCTTTTTCTTTTTTCTCTTTTTTTCTTTTTTCTTTTCTTCTCTCTTTCTTCCTTTTTTTTTTAAATAAAAGACAATAAATAGACAATCACTCTTAGCAAATACATAAGAATAATCAAAGGTAGAGTATAACTTTTATTGACTATATCAATCACTTGTAAAATTAAGTAAAGAGAAGGAATCTCATTAAATATGCAAAATTATAGTTACAACTCTCTCCACTTTACAAGATATACTTTCTAAAATTCAAAAATCCTAATTGCATAACAACCATTTCTAAGTCAAATGAGAACTAAAATTTTCAAAATACATATAAAGTTTCAACAAATGGAAGAAACACAATGCTTAAGGTTGGAACAAACTGGCCCTTTTAAAACAAAATTGTAAAAATTTTTAGACCATAATGAAATTTTGAAAAAAATTTTAACAGAGCTTTCCCTTATAACTAGATGAAACTCCCTGCTAGCAAACCCAATTTCAAGAAATTTTTTCATATGGAAATTTTTCAAGTACAATTCAAATATTTCTAATGCATTTAAATCAATAAGATATCATCATATGGCATAAAATAGCAAGCTAATTATTCACCTCCCCCACAATTAATCTCCACGTTGTTCTCAATGCGAGAAAAGGAAATAAATAAAGTGTAAGAGATAATACTTTCTTCATTAACTTATGATATCTAAATCCATGACCATGTAATGAATTTCCAACCGTATTTGACAAACAAAGGAGAGTTCAATTAATGCATAACTTCAAAAGACAAAATCAAAATAGAACAACTTCTTAAGAGTGAAAGCTTGGAAACATCAAGAAGTAAATATGCAAATCAAGGGAAAAAGGGAAAGGGAGCAAGCATATGGAACCAACACAATGTTCAAGGACATGAAATTATCTAACTTCACAAAACAAGTATACGTATGAATAACCACAGTAAAGTTAAGCTAACTTCACAAAATATGCCCATAATCATGAACAAAGTGAGTTCTATTTATAAATTGCGGCATCAATGTCCAAGTCTTCTCAAGTACACAAGTAATCCCAAAAATGGAGGCAAACACGCCAAACCCCTTTTTGAGAATTCATGAAATGCTAAAATGAGACAGTCCGAAAATTTATTCATATATTTCACATTTATTCAAGAGATCAAAAGTATTGCATACACCATATCATTGATTGATTTATGTGTTTAATTGTCTTCTTTATAATTTAAGCGTATAGAGATACTTTAGATTATTGTATGAATATTTTTATAGAAATTATACTATTTAGAACAAATTAATGGGATAATAGTGTGACCACTAGAATTATTTTGGCTAGAGTAGAATAATGTTTGTAGACAAAAACAAGCAAATGAGAAAAGTCTAACGATTGCCAAATGTTAAAAATTTCGTTAAATGACCAAATAGCCATAGAATGCGCCTAAAAATTACCATGCAACCAGCTGCCTTTCTATTGTCTTGAAACCGAGAGGGAAAAGAGAAAACTGAGCCATTTTTCTTTCTTTTTTCACTCCAAAACTATCCTTGACGGAGAGAGAGAGAGAGAGAGAGAGAGAGGAAGAGAATTTCTAGTTCCTTCTTTTACTAGCTGTATCGAGGGAGAAAGAAGACAAAACCTGGTGCGATTTCCTTGAGGAACCGAGAGAGAGGAAGTAAGTTGTCCGCATTTTCCAGCTGAGATTTTTGCAGAAAAGGGAGGTAAAAATTGTATTAACTCATTCTTCTAATACTCTGGATTACTCATATTGCATGCTGGTTTTTAGTTAAGAAAAGTGAGTTTTGTTGAAGAAAAATCTTGTTTAAAGACTGATTTATTGCTGGAAATTTCTGTTTTGGCCGAGGGAAGGAGAGCTGGAGTTTCACAGCTTTTCATTCAAAAACTTGGAAGAAATCTCACTAGGAATGCATGATATATGTTTAATCTCTTGACTTATAAGATTTTTATCTTTGAAACTAGTGAAACGTTGGCAAACTTGGCTGAAAATGTTGAAGAAACTTGCTGGAAATCTGTTGAGATGGCCGAGAGAGGGAAAGAAAGAATTTTCCAGTTTTCCTCTATGAATTTTGGCTGCAAACTTTCATATTGTGGTTCAAAACAGCTTATAACATCTTAACCTTAACATGCATATTAGATTTGAGTGTAAAATGAAGAGTTCTATTGAAGGAAAATTTGCCTTTCAAATTGTCTGTTTGCTGGAATTTTTTTTCAGCTTTGGTTGAGAGAGATGACGAAGAATTTTCTAGTTTTCTCCATGAATTTTGACTGAAAAACTGCATATTGTTGTTGTTTACACCTTA